AAGGCATCTCGGGAGACAGGAAGTGAAGCTGACATTGGATTCGGACGCGCATTGATGCCTGCCTACTGTATTTTGGAATGCATCCTCAAAAGGCAGCATTTTTTAGCTTTCAGACGTAGCCTTCATGTGCACTTGCGGTCTTGCGGACTTAACCATGGCCGCTGTGTGCACATGCTCATTAAGTCCACAAGACTGTAGGGTGTCCCATTCATCATTTTAGCTTTCAGCAGGGTGCTCGCGAGCGCAAGTGAAAATGGCATTACATCACTAAAGTGTGGACTCAGAGAAAGACTGCGAGGGTTTAGTGTGCGATTTGGGACAGGGCCCTACAATGTCGCACAAGCAAGATTTGTCAAGCATATAATAATAATTTACAGACAGTTACATACATATTTCCTATTTTTTATGTAAGATTTATGTCTCCGAACTCATTGTCTCAAGTGGCTTGGGTACGCAGAGCATTTACAGCTAATTTAGACCTGTGGTAAAAACTAGTTAAGGCAAACCTTATCCATTTAATCTCTCTCAAGGAAAAATGAATTTCATTCTAAGTTTGACAGTGTACTTCCCCATTCTCTATTTAACTTGGAGCTTCGAGAAAAAACAGTGTCTACCAGACTCAGCCCATCCCACCATAAAATCAAGTTGCTCTTACAAAACCAAGTGCACATTTAAAGACTCCTCGTCTCTTGTTTTCTGTCGTGTTGGTGTGTGCGTTACACAACTAAACGCAGACTAGCCATGCTAGAAACACTGTCAGAGTATCAGAGTACAGTGTTCTGTTTGCATTAGCAGACAAATGCACACTACAAATTCAAGAACTGTTAACAAAACTGAACATCATAAAAATCATTCGGTTCTGGAACCAGTTCTGAACAACAACCGGTTCTCAGCTCACAGCCCTACCGAGGGCAGATAAAGGACAGTGCAGACAGACATGGGGGGGTGGAATCAGCCCAACCTTTAACTTATTCTGAAGTTTACACAGCCCGCAGACCTCGGCCTTCACACCTCCGACTGGCCCCACATGCAGCTCTCAGTTAAAGCAAATGGAGATGAAAAGCTCCTGCAATGAGCTGTCTGGGATGAACAACATAACACTGGCAAGCCCTTTAGAACAAAATAAGCCTTCAGCATGCAAGTGCAGGCACAACCGTAGAGGAGTTGGCTTTGAAATAGGTGTGAGTGTGATTGTGTGCATGTGAAGGGTTCGTGGGAAAATGGGTGACTGAATAATTCTCGTAGTCTGACCAAACCTCTACAACCTTTCTCACACTTTCACACAAATTGCTTTCAAATTACGCAAACGCTGCCTGTGAGTCAGAGCCTACCTCTGCATACATCTGTCCCACAGATAGATGCTCTTTTTCTCTTCATAGACTATCAGGCACTTGCTTGTCTTGACAGATACTCGCTATGACACACAAAGACACGCTCTGCCAGGAATCCTGCTTGCCTGAGGACGCAAGGCTTGTGTAGGGTTGCACCAAACGTTTGTATGTTCTTACTTAACATGGGACACTCATAGAAGGGGCTTAGCAGCTACTAGGTTTTGTAAATAACTCTCTAGTTAATTTGGTTTCATCATTTGCTTTTAAAGCAAAACTCCTAGACTGCAAACCCTTAGTAAAGTAATCTGTAATCATATAATACAACATTAGAATTTATTGATCTAATAAGCAGTTGTAAAAAGCTGAACATTTCAGTTTTACCTTAATACAGGTTTGTGTTTAAAACTTATTTTGCCTCATGTAACAGTTACTGGTAATAAATAAAATTACCATAATATATACATTTACATTTAGTTAGTCATTTAGTAGATGCTTTTATCCAAAGTAACTTTAGGAACATCACAAGAAATTTGTTATAAAAGCCAACAATATTTGTAGTACTGTACACAATCTCAAATTTAAAGTATAATAGGAGTTAAAGTAAGTGCCTAAATAATCTTGAAACATAATAAATAATATATTTGAATATATTATCATTTTTGCAAATTATAACTAAAATTAATTAAGGATGATAAATAAATACTAATGCAAGAAAATTTGACATTGTTTATTTCATTATTTATTTATTTTTAAATAAATAAATGTAAGTAAATAATTATTCTTGGAAGTCAAAGATGACATATTGCACCGCACACAGGGAAGTTTTTTTTGCTGAAGAGATGCTAAGAAATCATTTAATCATGTGATGTTTCCTCTTATATATTCCTCTTATGAGCACAAATGTCAAAATCCTCATATATGTCTGGGACTTAATTAAATCATGCAAAACATAAGCTCAGTGATGTAATTCAATAGATAAGCCATTTAATTTAGCCATTATATATTATATTATATTATATTATATATAACATTTATACATATGCTATGTTATATATAACAAATGTTTTTTTTTTTTTTTTTTTTTACAAGTGGTATTTTTTTAAGTACCTTCAATGTTACAAATGTCTGATGTTTTAGTACTGTGTAAGCTGTAAATTAGCGCTCATGTAAGCCTCAAGCATTGTAAGTTTCATCTTAGGACTGGTGTAACCAGCTCATGGTTACTTGTTTGCACTGTCATTAACAACTGCAAGCAGTATTTACTTTGTGAGGTCTACCTAAGAAGTCCTCAACATTTCATCTGTCAACAAACTATATAAATTGAGGATAACTGAGGATATTTATGGAGGTAAATTAATGGGTTCCTCAAAAAATACTTATGTTAGAAGATTTGACTTAAGCATAGGATGCTGCATGTGTAGACAGCAGAAACCAACACAGCTCAATGCAGCTTTAATAGGAATTAGAGTGCTGTTACCATCGAAATGGACCATATGAAGATATTAATCTCCTTGTTTTCGATTTCTGTTCATACTGTATCTATGCATGCATCTGCTTATATTCATGTTCACATTTCAACTCATATTTCAGGCAACATCTCTGTATTTATGCAAACCCTTGTGCTTGTGTAAACTGATCAGATCAGGATGCCCAGATTACCAACACAGGAGAACTTATAAAGCTCTCAAAATTATGTAAATGTTATAATGGCTGCTGTATAGTATGACATTAGTCACAATGGTGGTGTGATTTTAGATGACTGACTGTTTTATGATGGTTAACAGGTAGTGTTGGATATTGTTTCCATGAAAGTATCACTAAAATTTTGCTGCAATTAAAATATTTCTGACTTCCATAGCCTACAAGTATATAATTCTATATTAATCCTTTTCTAGTCATCCATAATACATATATTTTTATCAGGTCATTTAGAAACGTTAGGTTACCTGGCAAAAATATCAGATGCACAAATACTGTCCTAACCTCAACAGATTAAAAAATGCAAGTTGTCTGACCATTTGGCATCAGATTATCATATGTCTGCATTAATGGTGGCTGCATGGCTCTTTGCAGCTGCAGAAATATTTATGACAGGTAGCGAACCTCTTTCGCCGTCTCTATGCAACCGGGATTATCTGAGCATTCATCTGAGGCTTTTGCTGCAGAAATGATGCAGGTGGCATCAGAGAAAGAGGAAAGTACAACACACACCTGCTGCCAGCGCATGACACGAATGATGTGAAGAGAACATACACGTGTTCTCCTTTTGGTGTAACCATATTTTGAACATTGACGTTGATTACCATGGGCAATAAAATGTCTCACTATGACGATTATAGGGTTCTAAAAAGGAATTTTACAGGTATTTTCAGGTGTAATCTGTTCAGTATGTCTTGCGTAATGCAAACTGTCATTTGGCACCTTCATACAATCTTCATACTGTTTCAAAAAAATATTTAAAAATTATATATATATATATATATATA